CAACTCACTACCTGACCTTCTTTTTTTTAAGATTTTATTTATTTATTTGAGAGAGAGAGAGAGCATGAGAGCGGGGAGGGTCAAAGGGAGAAGCAGACCCCCCGCGGAGCAAGGAGCCCGATGAGGGACTCGATCCTGGGACTCCAGGATCATGACCTGAGCAGAAGGCAGTTGCTTAACCAACTGAGCCACCCAGGAGCCCAACTCACTACCTGACTTAATAGTTCTAGACCATTCCATTTGCTACAGAGGGACTAACCTTTATAGCAATCTTGCTGAATGCTGGGTGCTTCATACACTTGCTTTTTTTTTTTTTTGAGAGCATGCGTGCGAGCAGGGGGGCGGGGGCAGGGGCAGAGGGCAGAGGGAGAGAGAGTATCTTAAGCACGCTCCACATCCAGCGCAGAGCCTGATGCTGGGCTAGATCTCACGACCCTGAGGTCATGACCGGAGCCGAAATCAAGAGTTGGATGCTTAAGCTACTGAGCCACCCAGGTGCCCCCATATACTTGCTCTTTTATTATTTTTTTATTTTCAGTTTTTTTTAGTTCACATGCAGTGTTATATGAGTTTCGGGTGTATAACATAGTGATTCAGCAATTTACATTACAGGGGCGCCTGGGTGGCTCAGTCGTTAAGCGTCTGCCTTTGGCTCAGGTCATGATCCCGGGGTCCTGGGATCGAGCCCCGCATTGGGCTCTCTGCTCAGCGGGAGGCCTGCTTCTCCCTCTCCCACTCCCCCTGCTTGTGTTCCCTCTCGTCTCTCTCTCTGTGTCAAAATAAATAAATAAAGTCTTAAAAAAAAATTCTCTGCATTACTCAGTGCTCATCATGCTCATAACAGCCCTCGGCTCTTAATCCCTGTCACCTACTTCACCCATCCCCCACCCGCCTCCCCTCTGGTCAGCATCCGTTGATTTTCTAGAGTTAAGAGTCTGTTTTTTTGGTTTGTCTCTTTTTTCTTTGTTTGTTTGTTTTTTTTTAATTCCACGTATGAGTGAGATCATATGGCATTTGCCTTTCTCTGACTTATTTCACTTAGCATTATACTGTCTAGATCCACCCGTGTTGTTACAAATGGTAAGACTTCACTCTTTTTGATGGCTTAGTAATATTCCATTGCGTGTGTGTGTGTGTGTGTGTGTGTGTGTGTGTGTGTATACACCCCATTTTCATCTGTTCATCGTTGATGGACAACCTAGGCTGCTTCCATAATTTGGCCGTCATAAATAATGCTGTAGTAAACACACTTGCCCTTCTAGAACCCCACTGCTGTTACCAGGAGTGGAGGCTCAGAGAAGGGGAGTGATCTGCCTGGGATTACACGGCAAGTGAGGTGCAGAGGGAAGGTCGGCCCCTGGGCTGTATGGGGGAAAAGGTGCACTGTGGGTTTTGATCTCGAATTTCTAACCCCAGTCTTAGCTCTGACACCCAACTTCTGCAGGAAGATTCAGCTCCAGAAGAGAGTGAGATGGGGGGTTACGGAAAGGCTGGCCCCTCCTATGCTACCAGGTGCCTCATGGCACCCAGACCCTCTTTCTCGCTGCATCTTAGCTTAGACTGTGTCCTCTGCCGCTTGGCCAGCCCCCCTCTCAGAAGCCTTTCCAGACTCCTGCTACCCTCAGGGGGACATTGAGTGACCATTCTCCCTCCTCCCTCCTCAGGATGGAATGGGGGCAGAGCCCAAAGATGTGATGAATGGAAAACCAAGGCGAGAAAATGTGGTGAAGGGAAGACAAGGATGGGACAGGAAGGGGGTGGGGGGCGGGCTTGACATCCTCAGGGCTGCCTCTGGCCCTGGTCTGAGAAGTCTCAGGCCAGTCCCTGCTTGTCTGTCCTGCCACATTCAGGGCTCCACAACTGGGGAACACGGTAAGGAAGAACAGAGCCACCAGGGTCTGCTTTTGAAACTCGGGCCTGGAATTCAGGCCTCGGTGTCTAACCTGTCTTCAGTTACTCGGGTGAGGTCAGAGCCTTTCCAACAGCAATGCATTGTTTTGTTTTTGGGGGGATGAGGGAGAGTGTGAGCTCCCACAGGCTGAGGAGAGAGGGAGATGGAGGTGCCAGAGGAGAAGTTCTTTATCCTTGGCATCGCCTACAAAGCCGTGGAAAGTTCTAGAAAGATTGGGAACTGGATGTGTGTGAGGGAGATGAGGCTGTGTTTCCTTGTTTAGGCTGGTGGAGAGGGAGAGAGATTGGGGCTGGAGTCCCTCCTGGCCCACGCTGCTTAGTTGCCATGCCTGCCTGCCCAGGATTCAGCCTCCCACCCAGGTCGCAGGAGACTGGGAGCCAGAGGAGGGGCAGGTTGAAGGCTGGGGTAGGACTTGCTGGTGGTCTGTTTGGCCACAAAAGCTCAAGCTGACAACCTGGGCAGCTGGCCATGCTTTGTTCATCTGTATGTGTGTTGAAATTTGACCTTCCTCAGAAGGGGAGGCAGTCCTAGGTACCTCCTCAAAAGACCCCAGAGCCTGTCACCCTGTCACACCCCTGCCTTCCTCACCTTGTGTCCCAGGGATTGGGTTGTCTCTTGGCCTCCCCGGACCCTACAGTGAACAAGTGAGTCAGACTTGACCTGGGAGCCAGGGCAGACTTTGCTGACCCCCTTCCCTGCATCCCAGACCCAGGTCTCTCTGCAAAAGGACATCTGTGCAGAGACAGAGAAATCAGGTTCAAGTATTATGTGTATGTGTACTTTGGAGTAAGGGTCTTCCTTCCTCACTCTGGGCCTCAGTTTCCCGGCAGTGACCTATTATTAGGCATCCATGTGGTGGGGGGTGGCCCCATGCTAGGGCTGCCCCAGGAAGGGGAGGTCCCCGCCCCCACTGCCAGGCAGCCCTTGGCCCTAATTCAGCGCTTCGTGGTACTGAGCGCCGCACCCATTTTCCCCTTCACCTTTCCCTTTCTGAAGGCCAGGGAGATGTGATTATCCCATTGTCTAGAGAAGTAAACTGAGGCCTAAAGGTGGGATCCCGCACAGAGTGCCAGCGATTGGAAAGAGTGTTGGGTCATCCCTGCCGGGGTCATCCCGGCCCCGCGACCACTCCGCCGCACTTCTCCGAGGTGCTGACGGAGGTGGTTGGAGCTAGGGGCGTAGGGGGGCCGGTGACCGCCAGTAACCCCGGCGGATGTCGGCGCCGAGTGGGTTAAGGGCCCGCGCCCGCGAGTAACCCCGGCCCCATTCAGCGCCGCGGGGTGAAACCCGAGCCCGAGCCGCCGTCGGGGGTGGGGCGGGGGCAGAGGCGGGGCCCTAGTGAGGCAGCGGCGCGGCCGCTGATTGGCCGCGCGCGCTCACCCCATGC